TGTGTGTGTGTGTGTGTGTGTTGAGGGGGGGTCATAAAAATTTGAAACTGCAATACTGAATGGATTTTTCAACTCTGGAGGAAATTTTTCTAGTTAATAGAAGGGAATGAGAGAAAGAAACAATTCTTCTGAAGTTTAGTCCAAGGAAAGATGATGTAAATTACTGGATTTGCAAAAGGAGTCCAGGAAGAGGAATTGAAAATTAAATACCTATTCAGGAATACAAAGAATGGGGTGGATGCAGTTGGACAGATGGGAAGTGTTATATGTTGAATTGTTCAGGATTGAGAGTGACTAAATTTCATGTTGGACTGGTCATTTGTGGAGTTGTTGGGCTAGCACATACTTAAATCTGAGTGTAGCCTACCAGTCCTCTGGAGTCTTACTTCTTAGTGTATTCCTGGGCCAGCAGCAGTCTCTGTGAGACTCTTGTCAGAAATGCAGACTTCAAGCACAAGTTCATGTTCACTAAATCTGGATCTGCTTTTTAATAAGGTTACTAGGTAAATCACATGCATGCTAACGACTGAGACACACTGCACTAAGATGCAATAGAAGGAATATTGCATAGAGTTTGAGGGATGATCCAAACTGATTGGCTGGGAGATTTTAGTGGACAAAGGAACAAATGGGGAGAATCTTAGCATGGAAAATGGGAAGAAAGGTTTTTCAGAAGCCAAAAAGAAACATTGTGAATTGTGGTGGCTATTCTTGGTTGTCAACTTGACTATATTTGGAATTAACTAAAACTCAAAAATGGAAGGCACACTTGTTAGGGATTTTTGCTTAATTTGAAGTAGGAAAATCCACTTGGAGTACAGAGGACACATCTTTAATCTGGATCATTTGAGCTGGGAAAACCCACCTCTAATCTGGGCCACACCTTCTGCTGGAGGCCAATGTGAGGACATGGAAGAAGGAAGTTTTTGCTCTTTGCCTGCTTGCCCCTGCCTTGCTAACACATCCATTCTTTCACTGGCATTCAAGCTTGTTTCTTTGGGATTTCAGCATGTGCTGAAGACCAGCTGAGATATATGTCCTTGTAGCCCGAGCAACTACTGGATTCTTGAACCTTCCATTCACAACCTTTGTTCTCTTTTCCTTCTCTCTTGAGCCTAGTTTCTCTTCCTGTGGATTCTCTGCCCACCAGCCCAGCCTATCCCTCTCCTGCCTCGCTATTGAGCATTCAGCTTTTTTATTAGACCAATCAGGTGCCTTAGGCAGGCAAGGTGAAACAAATGCAACACATCCTTACATCATTAAACAAATGCAGCATGAACAAGTGCAGCACACCTTTACACAGTTAAAGTAATATTCTGCAACTTAAACAAATGTAGCACATCTTTACATAGTTTAAATAGTATTCCACAACAACTGATCAGTGTCAAATATCATAAAAGACATAAGGGACACATGTCTGCAGGAATTTAGATTTGCATGGCAGGGGGTGGTCTTAAGGCAGAGAGGAAGCCAGATCAATAAGTAGTGGCTAGCTGGGCACCATAGTACATAGTTATAATCACAGTACTAGGAAGGTGGAAGTGGAAGGATTGGGATTATGAGGCCAGTCTGAACTGCAGAGATCCTGTCTCAAAACAGGAAAACAAACAGGTACCAAAAAGAAGGAATGCTGAAGAGTTTGAGTTGCTTGAGAAATCTAACCTCTTGGGTGTTGCGAAGAGGATGATGAATAGCTTTTGGTGGTAGAGAACCTGGAGAAGGCAAGGGGAGGAACCACTGCTGAAAGCATGCTGGGGAACAGGTCTCCCATTCTGCCATTGGGAGAACTCACAGCACAGGGAAGGGAAGGCCTTTATGTGGAAGAGTGTAGCAGACTTTCTTTTGGGCCACCAACTAGTCCCCAGATCATGACTTGGATACTTATTATTACTTATGAATGCTCGGCCTTATCTTAGGCTTGTCCCACTACCTCTTATAACTTAATTTAACCTGTTTCTCTTCATCTACATTTTGCCTCGGGGCTTTTTAAGTTTCTTTCATTCTGTATTTCTTACTTTTCCTGCTTCTTTCATATCTGTCTGTCTGTCTGGCAGCTGCCTGGCTGGTTGGCCAGAGGTGTCTCCCTTTCTTTCTCCCTCTCTCTTCCCTCATTCTCTTGAGCCTACATTCCTTCTCCTACTTATTCTGTCTGCCTGCCAGCCCCGCCTATCCCTCTATTACCTAGCTATTGGCTGTTTGGCTCTTTATTAGGCCAATCAGGTGCCTTAGGCAGGTAGGGTGAAACAAATGCAACACATGTCTAAAAAATTAAACAAATGAAGCATAAACAAATGTAACGCATCTTTACATAATTAAATTAACATTCCACAACATAAAAAAATGTAACACATCTTTACTTAGTTAAACAAATATTCTATTCCACAACAGAAGATGTATTTACCTGCTATAAAGCTGAGAGCCCACAGGTGATGAAGGAGACAGATGACAAATCTCAGGCCAATGTGATAAAAAGACTTCTCATTTTAGTAGGAAGGGGGGCATTTGCTGGGAATCAATCAGGACAATGTTAAGACTAAAAAGAATGGAAATTAAAATTTGCTTTTAAAAAAATATAGCTAAGAGGAATTTTTACACTCCTTGCGACAACTAAATATGTTTAGTGAGCAGAATAAAATGGTATGTTAGGTTTCTGTTGCAGTATCAAAAATATCTTAAAAAAAATCAGTTTGAAGAAGGAAGACTTATTTTGCATGGTTTCAGTCTGTGGTCCCTGGCTCCTGGTTTAGGTTTAAAGGCTAGAAAGTACCATGGAAGATCAAAGCTACTGATTTCCTGGTGGCTAGGAGGCAGGAAGACTGAGAGGGGAAGAGGCTAGGGAAAAAAGCAGAAAACCCTCCCAGGGCACATCCACTGTGACCTGTTCCCCCCCCCCCCGCCCCCAGAAGCCTAGCTCCTGAAGTTACTACTACCTCTCAATAACCCATTAAACTATAAATCCACAAACAGATCAATCTGTCCAGGAAGCCAGAGCCCTCAAGACCCAGTCACCTCCAGTGGGTCCCAGCTCTAAAGGCGATTCCAATGATTGCATCTGAATCATTCTCAGCTGTTTCCTTTCTCCTCACATCTGGATTCTTTGCACACAATTTTTGAAACCCATTCACATTGTTGTACACATCAAGGTTGTTCCCTTTCATTGGTAAGTAGTATTCCTCTGAATTAATGAGCCATGATCTCTTTATCCACCTACCTGCTGGTGGATGTTTGTGGTGTTTCTAGGTATTATGAATAGAGCCACTATCAGCTTTAATGTACATATGTTTGGGAAGACACGTCCTTTCATTTTCCTTGGGTAAGAATCTAGGAGGATAATTATTATTTGGTAAGATATGTTCAATAAATTGCCCAGTGCTTGCTTTGGCAGCATGTATACTAAAACTGGAATAATACAGAGATTAGCATGGCTCCTTTGACAAGTAAATTCGTGAAGTGTTTCATATTTAAAAAAGAAAGAAATTAGTTGATTGTCTTTTTATAAAAACTATTTCTAAGAGTTCCAGTTGCTCTTTCTTGCTAGTCTTTAATGTTAGGCATTCTGGTAGGTGTGCATTCATATCTCATTGTGGTTTTAACATGAACTATTTAATAATTATGTGAAGAGTGTTTTGTCCTCCTTACCATAGTGTTGCACAGATTTAATTCCAGCACTCTGGAGGTAGTGGATGCTTGATCTCTGAGTTCAAGGCCGGTCTGGTCTACAGACTGAGTTCCAGTAAACCAGGGCTACACAGAGAAACCCTGTTTCAGAACGAAACAAAACAAAACAAACAAAAAGAATATTTGTCCTTATTTTCAATCCTCTATCTTCCTTATTTTGTTGTTTTTAAAAATAAAATTTTTGTATATGGATGTATGGATGTATAATATGTAATTTGTTACTATGTTAATAATCTCAACACTTGTTATTTTCAATAAATTAATAAATTTGCTTAAGTTTCTTTCATTCCTACTATGGTACATATTAACATAAAACATAAACCACAGATTTGGGGGGCTTCTCAACAATTCTCAAGAACCTTAAGGTACCAAGAATGATAATACATGCCTATAATGACAGCAGCTTGGGAGGCTGAGGCCAAGGGTCAATTCTTGTGAATTGTGAGCTCAAGTCTAACCTGGGCTACACAGGACTACACAGCCCAACAGTTTATAAATTTAAAAACAAAACAAGCTTAAAGGTGTCCTGAGATCAGAAAGTGTAAGAGCCACCATTGAGAAGAATAGAAATGTGTGGTGTACATAAAAGACACCGAGTTTGTGATGCAGAGCATCCGCCGACAGAGACTGAGAGACATAAATAGCACAGATACCATATTACAGCGGCGTTCAGCTTCCTCTTCAACATCAGCCTCTCAGAACACTCCCCCGGGAGTAGTTCTCGCTAGCAGAAAATGACACAGACTTCAGGGAGCATCAAACGTTGACAGAACTTGACCACACATTTGTCTCTGATCAGATTTTACTACTGCATTTTCTCCAAGTTTGTTCTAATAACTAAGTGAGATTCTGAGTTGACCGGCTCGTCAAGAAGTTCCACACCTAAATGTACACACACACATATAAACATGTGTTCTTTACTTATTTGTCAGATTTCCTTGGTTTAGAATTGCACAAATTCTTTATGTATATTGGGTATCAGTCCTTCAGTAGACATATTTAGTACAGACATTCTCTCAAGGTGTGAGTTCCTTCTTCAGTTTCTTAGCACTTTATTAACAAAGCATAACATTTTAACGCGGGTGAGGTCCAATTTATTGGCTTTTGCTTTTGTGATCTGTGTTTTACGTGTCTCTTAAATCCCTGTCTGTCTCCAGACTGGGAACATTTCCTCCAGAAGGCTGTGTTTTGCTTAACGTGGCGCTCCTTCATATTTCACTGCCCTAATTTATCTTCCTAGTGTCTGTTTCTTCATCGTGATTCTTCTTATCTCTCAACCGCGAACATTTACAAATTACAAGCTTTTTCTCCCTTTGATTATAAATACTGTGTATTCATCAAAGAAGGCCTAGAGAGCAGACGAAGCGAAAGAAGTAATAATAGTAACACCAGTTCTAGGCGGTAGTCAAACAAGATGTTTAAAGGAACAAGCTAGAGGGCAGGCTGCCTGCACTTGCATTCCATCTCTGCTACCATCTGCCTGTGGTACTGGCTTGCATTTTACATGGCAAAAGAATTCACAAGATTCGGTAGCATTTCGTACTAGGATTTTTGTTGTTGCAAAGGATACAAAGATAAGATAAGATGTGTGTTCACAGAGTACAGAGATAGCGGGGACGTGTCCTGAAGTTCTTTTTCTCCGAGAGAAAAGTATGTCAACAGGCGGGAAACGTCTCTGCTGAGGGAAGGCCCTGAGTCTTAGGGCTCCAGGCTTTTGTGTGGGGTTGGTAGTGTAGATAGATCCTGTTATACAAGTCTGCCTTGGCAACCAAATCTTAGGACCTAGCAATGAAACCAAGTGACATTGTCTGCTTTTTTTTTTTTTTTACCTTTTGAAGATTATAATCTACTTTAGGTACTCTAGGAGGAAGGTGGGAGAGGCACTAGCTACAAAGAATAAGCCATCTTATTTGGTTCCCAAATTCGGACAAAAATGTTTGTATCTCTCTTTCTCAGCTTCCTTCTTGGGCTCCATTTGTTTTGATTTTTTTTTTCTTTCTGAAAGTAGAAACTGAGGTAATGTTGGGTGGCAGGCTATTTGTTTATTTCAGGTTATTTTATGGTTATTTCAGGAAGTATAAATATAGAACTGAAAATAGGAAAGAAATGAGATAGCAAAGAGACGGGCCAGAAAGAAAGGAGTGGTCGTGAGCTACTCATTGCTATTGAGGACAGCAATCCCACTGACCAAGCTCTGAGCATAAGTGCCTAAGAAAGAAAGGGTCCTGCAAAGGGGAGAGGCTGGGCCATTTAACCACTGATATCATCGTCTGCCACCCGAGGGATCCAACTAAGTCCCCTACTTGTCTGTAGAAAAAGATGGAGAGATGAAGTTTGAACATTTCATGGGGGAAGCTGCCATCAATACACAGAACACACACACACACACACACACACACACACACACACACACACACACACACACTGAACAGGAGCAAGCCAAGAGCACAGCATGCAGAACACAGAAAGCAGGGAGGGGCTGATGACAAGCTTCCCCGTTCTGCACATCACTTCCTGGTACTGGTACATCGGCAGCCAGTTTCAAAGCCTCCCACGGCAGAGAGGGAAGACCTGAAGAATTGACTCCTCCAGTCTTGGAGGCGTTTTTTTGTTTGTTTGTTTGTTTACTTTTATTTACCAGTATTATTCCAGGGTGAGGGTTTTGCCCCCTTTCTGGAGGTTCTAAAATACCAGGTCAACACATGCTTTGTCCCAGAAAAGTATTCCAGTTTCCAGCTCCCAACACCCATTTAATGTATTTTTCTCATTTAGTCCTTTTCCTCCTCCTTCCTCCTCCCTCCTCCCTCCTCTCTCCTCTTCCCTCCTCCTGCTCCCCCCTCCTCCTCCTTCCTCCTCCTCCTCCTCCTCCTCCTCCTCCTTTTACTGGCCCCAAACTCATAGAGATATCGACCTCCCTCTGCCTCCCCAGTGCTGGGATTAAAGACTTATACCACCATGCCAGGTCTCAGTCTTGGTTCTTGACATGTTAACATAATTTAAATTGTTTCTAACATTTCCTGTGAAATTATTCTTCTTACTGCAGACTCAGACAAAACTTTGCAACAGTTAAAACTAGAGCTGTTCTCGGGATCAGAGGAGTGTTCCACTCACTCCACTCCAGTGAGTGGCAGCAGTCTAGGGATACAAACTGCTTTAATCAGGACACAACAATTAGATTAACCCCTCTCCTAATGTTGGGTGTTAAGTATATTTCCATTTTTTGTATTTACATGTTAAATAATATACCAAGCAGCTCTGTGCGTGATGCTTTGTCATACAATTTACTAACAGACACCATTATGGCAACTAAATGACTATAGAGTAACACATCTTAAAATATTTTGAACTATGCAGATTCATTTTTCCCCCAAAAGTTATATTTGACCTATGTATATTCTTTTCAATCACGTATGTGTTGGGCAATCTTAAAAATGTATTTTTTTTAAACCCGCTAAGCTCATTTAGTGCTACCAGTATGTGCCTGGGTGCAGGGCCATCTACTAGGAAATTGGTAGCCTTTCAAGGGTCACATCCTTCAAGAAAAACGGCTCTCCCAGCAGCCACCAATTGCTAATAGCTTCTCAGCCATCATGAAATTGGGAGGGAATAGTGGTGAGGGGGAGAGGGGAGGGAAGGGGAGGGGAGGGAAAGGGAGGGGAGGGAAGGAACTAGGGACAGACTTGGTCAAAGCACATTATATGCATGTATAAAATTCTCAAACAATAAAAACAAAACCTTTTAAAGAGGAGACAAAGTTGGGAGGGGATAGAGAGATGGGGTGGATCTGAGATTAACTGGGGAGAAATAGGGGATAAAATATGGTCAAAGCACATTGCGTGAAATTCGCAAAGGATTAATAAAATATTTTAATTTTTAAAAACTTTCATTGTTGAAAGTTTAGAAAATATAAAAAGTATAACCAACGATGTATAACCCATAGTCCTCAGAAACCTAACTAGAAATATTTTAATATATTTTATAATCTTAGTTGGTTATAGATAATGTGTATTATATTTTATGAAAACATAGAGCTTTATATCCTGGCTTCCTAATTTAGCATAATCTCATATTTTTCAGAAAGAAAATTTTAAATGTTTGCAAAATCTTGCATCCATGTCAGGAATTGTATTTGCCGGACATTAACAGAGTTTGGCAAGTATAAATAATAACTGTGTTTTCCTAATACACTAGAGAGAGGCGGTTTCTGGCTTTGTTACAATGGCTCAAAGATGTCAGAATTTTAGTCACTACAGTCCTCCTCTCTTGGTCCCACCTAGCTGTGGCAGTTCAAGCCATAATGTCAGTGACCAAGATATCTAGTTTTTCCTGGGGAACAGTGCGTCTGCAATGCCTGCACGCTTCGGGCAGAGCCAGGGAAATCAATCAAAAGTTCTAGGTCAGCCTGGACTCCAGTGAGACTTCGGCTCAGAAATCAATCAGTCACTGGACAAAGGCCTCTGGATCCAGACAGCAAGCCTAACACTTGAGAGTTGCAGCTGAGGCCTCCTGCTTTTAGCTCACTGACCATAGTCTAATGAAACAGAAGTTAGGGAATGCAGTGTTATTAACTAGACATGCGTTGTGCCAAACAATACAGGAGCTTTTGATAACAAAAAGAACAGGATGGAGATTGTGTGCCAGCAGTTCATGCTACACAGTCATATGGTTGTGATGCTTTTATTTAACCAATCCCCATGGTATATAATTCAGTTGTTTTTTCCCTAATTTTCACCATTATATCAATTAATATGTTAGATGTTTCTCCAGAAACATCTTTGCAGATCTTTTATTTTCTTATGACAATAATTAGTAAATCACCTCATAGAATGCAAAACATCACTTTTCAAAAAATGTTTTAGCAATTTAAATTCCTACCATCAAATAGTGAAGCTGTGATGTGGTCTTCTGAAAGTTGTTCACTGAACACTTGCTTTCTGACCGACTTCACACCGCCCCTTTAACTCTTTTTATTATTAACGTTCACAAACATCAGAAAATGCAATCAATCCTTACACAGAATGTCAAAATGGCATTTGCAAAGCACTATGTATTTTATTTAACTAAATATGTGGCAGAAAAAAAATGTCTTGGAGAATGAGCCTACAAGGAAAAAGATACATTTTTAAGTTGTGTGTTCCTTTATCTGCTCCATTGAAAGAGTCCCTAAGACTCTTTTTTTGATATCAGGAACCATAACAGGCCACAAGACACAGGATGAGAAAGGAACAGCCATCTGAGAACCTATCAAAAACAACCAAACAAACAAACAAAAAAAACCAAAAGCTAAATCTACTTAAGATCTTTAAAATGTACTATTAGAAACCGTTATCTGAGGTGTGGGTCTTAAAACAGCTATTGCTGCTCTGCAGTCCTGGAGCAAGGCGAGTAAAATTTTGAAGCCTGTGTGTTGAGTTGCTTTCAAATGGAATAATGGAAATAAGCAAAGCTGGGTGGCTGCCCTGGGCTCCTCCACAGCCCTCAGCTCCACAGTCCTCAGCAGGAGACAGATTTGAGACATCGAGAGTTGTATTCAGTTAAAACGTTCTCTGGGTTTATAAGTCAATTCACTTCCAATAAACTAAGTCATAATTCGAAATGCATTTTGGAAACTCAAGCAACAAGAACTCATGATGGATGCTGTTCAGTTAACAGTGTGGGATCAAAAAAAAAAATGATAGCAGGAAAGTGTAGTAAAAGAGATCACTTTGGAAACCAGGAAATCACCAGTAATTCATTTCTTGTAAGTATGGTTTTAAACATGAGTTTTCATTGAAGCTAGGCCTGGTAGGCTTGAAGCTCTATTAAAATCCCAGCGGGAGGACTGGAGTCGTAGCTCAGCAGTTCAGAGTGTTTATTGCTGTTGCAGAGGACCCTGGTTCAATTCCCAGCACTCACAGGGTGGATCACAATTACTTATTACTCTAGATCCAGGAGATCTGATGTCATCTTCTGCCATGTGCAGGCATCAGGCATGCACGCAACACACATACACACATGCAGGCAACAAACTAACAAACAAAACAACAACAACCAAAACCCCAGAAAAATAAGACATACACACAATTCACACACATAATATAAACACACACACACACACACACACACACACACACACACAAAATAAAAACAAATAAATCTAATATTTTTAATTCCAGGGGACTTTTGCTTTTAGAATATATAGTCAGTATTTTACATAGTGCTATGCCTAACCGTCTGGATCCCCGTGGACAAAAGACGCAAACATTCACAAAGAGCTCTGTATATGAAAAGATACTCAATTTTACCAACACATCTAATTTAAAATTACACTGAGGTAAACCTCATAATTATCATATTGACAAAAGAAGAGTTTAGTAACAGACTGTGCCCGAGGATTCAGAATGATAACTGTTAAAGAATAGGTATCGTCTAAGAATTTACCTCGGAACCTTTCCGCTTTCGATCCACCGGAGCTACTCGGTGGTAATGGATATTAAGCTTTGTCGGTAGAGGGCGCAAGAGGGACACTGCAGAAAGGAAAGGGCCAATTTCTGGTCTTGGCAGGCTGGGTTTGGCTTTTATTTTGCTGCTCAAGCAGAGCTTGTAGTGCCTGTGGGGTAGAGAGTGATGGAATCAGGTAGTGCCCAAGGGCCCGTTCTCTAGCTGGGTCTCGTGGCATGCCTTGCTCCGGGCCAGACTGTGACTATTTCTGTGGGTTGTGTGCCAGAAGGGCGTTTCCTGCTTGCCCCCCAACTAGACAGGATGAGTGGGAGGCCCATTAAATTTCTCCTTCATCCACTAGTCTGCAGCCTGCATGCTTCCAAGCGGTTTCTAGCCTGACAGGCCGTGGAAGTTCCCTAGTTGGCTGTGATGCCTTGGTACCCTCCCTCTGCACCGGGGCATTCTTTACAGCAGGGTTTGGAGAATCATGGTCAGCTGCCTAAGTCTAACTCACCACCTGTTTTGGAAATAAAATTGTTTGGGAACACAGCCAGGCCTATTTGTTTACGTTCTGTCTATAGAGCATTTCACGGCTGCGACAGAGAGTATGGCCAATATAGTTACAATCTGTCTCAGTGTAGAAAATGTTAGCCAACCTTTATAGTTCTTCACTTCTTTATATTATTCTATCAGGGTTTCATAATTTTTAGCATTAAGCTTCCTCTATTTTAATTGCTGTGTGGTTTCTGTCTCCACACGGTACTTCCTCTAATGGAACAAAAATACCCACACTCAAGGTTATTTATTGCAACATTGTTTGCCATTGCAAAAATACACATGAACACCCTAAGTCCTCTACCATAGAGACTGGCTAGTGAGCTATGATAGCCACACAATTGAGAGCTCTACAGCAGCGAAGGGGGCTAGGAGATCTCTGTGAACGGATGTGGAGTGACTTTCAGGGTGCCATTAAGCAAAACAGAAACAAACAAACAAACAAACAAAACCCAGAAATATTTGTATATGGTATGCAATATTAATAAGAAAGGCTATTCCTTCAAATTGAAGCCTAAAGCTAGCCTGTTGCTAAAGTAGAAGTCAACATCAGGATCACCCTGGAAGGACTAGGAAAGGAATGGCAAGGATATCTTTTACTATAGAGTATAGTTGTCGGGCAGAGTCATCTCACACAAAGCCTGTACTGAAGTGTTGAATAGTTCACACGGCTAAGTAGGAGTTTCAGCTCAATGATGGTGCCTATTATCATGAGAGAACACTGTACCACAAACTGCCACTTCAGGAGAAGGTCA